ACATCAAGGCTGGCCGAGCCGAACGCTAAACCCCAAGCGTTCCGCCCAGATCTTTTCTGCCAACTTGTGCCCAAACGGCTTCGCGTGCGTGTTAATGTGCATGCTTGGGTGTATGTGCGTGCGTGTCCGTACGATCTGCGTGCATGCGTTCTTGCTGCTCAGGGCACATCGGCGCTCGGGAAAATATAACCTCCCCCTATCCAATCCAATCTCTCCCCGAAGAGGGGATCAAGAGGGAAAGATGATAGAGAGAGGACAAAACAAAAACAAGCGAGAAGCAAAAGGAGGAGGCCCAGCGTCTCACAGGAATAATCCATGGTGACCGCTGCTATCGACGAACGGCCAGGCCGTAATTAGCGAAGGTGAGCTCAGCCGCCATTCGGGCAGCGAGAGCCTTCTCGAGATGATCGTCGGGCGGATCTTACGTGCGCATGTCCCATGCTTGTGCTTGCGTGCAGCATGCAATACAGCTGGTGAGCTATAACGTAAGTCAGGCTAAACATAGCTAAACGTAGCGTGAAGCCTATGAGAGCGAGGCGCGCGACAGGGGCTATGTAGGGATAGGTACCTGCCCCATGCACGCGCCATATTCCGCCTGAGCCGTGGGCCTTCGATGAAATGCATACCAATAGACACGTGGCCGACTCCAGAAACCCTGAACTCACAAATATTGTCTGTCAACTCTTGGGGGCGAAGCCTTACCTTCCGGGGGCTCCCGCCGGCGGACCCGCCCCCCCCCTATTTGCTTCCGTCCACGCGCACCAGCTTTTCGAGCTGCGTCCAGCCGTGGCGATGAGGGGGCTCCCCGCAGGCCAACTACCGCGGGTTCGTGTCGTGTCGACCCCGGCGTTGGTTCCCTACAGCGCGGGGATCGTTCAACCTGGGATGATCGGCCGGTTCTGACACGTCAGATCCTTCAGCATCGACCGATCCTGGGTCGCTGGCGGCATTCCACGTCGAGCGCCGGCGGCGGGGTTGCCGCTGGTCGAGACGACACGAGGAAGGGGATGAGGAGGAGGAGAGGAAGGAGGAGGAGGAGGATGAGAACGAGGAGGAGGAGGAGCCCTCCTCTGACTCGGAGCTCCCCTGCCGCCCAGCGGAGCTCCGCGCGCGCGCGCGCGAGAGGGCGGCCGCCGCCACGGCGCTCCTTCGCAGCGGCACGGGCCTCCGCCAGCGCCGCCGCCGACGCGCGCAGGGCTGGTGCTCCTTGTCCTCGTCCTTCGTGCTTGTCGCCCTTCGTCCTCCTCGTCCTGCGTCCTCCGTCCTACGTCCTCCGTCCTACGTCCTGCCTCCTCCGCCCTCCGGCTTTCCCCATCTCGTTTGACGTCTTTTTGCGGTCCTCGGCCTCTTCTGGCTCCTTCTCCTTCTCCTCCTCGTCGTCGCCCTTCTCCTTGGCGTCGTCGTTGTCGTCGTCGTCGCTGTAGTAATCCTCGTCATCTTCGACATACGGGCCGGTCGATTCCAATCATGGCGCTCCCCTTGTGGCCTCACCGTTGCCCTTGCTTCGAGGATCGACCAGTCAACCGACCTCCTCCTTCTTCTCCTACCCCTGCTGCTCCGAGGAAGAGGAGGAGGAGAGGAAGGAGGAGGACGAGGAGGAAAAGGACGAGGAGGAGATGAAGAGGGAGGAGAGGAGAAGGGAGGAGGAGGAGGACGAGGAGGAGGAGGGAGGAGAGGGAGGAGGAGGATACTCCTGCTGCTGCTGCTGCCCCAGCTGGTACTGCGCTGGCTTCCACCGTGCGGCCGCCGCGGTCTCCGTAGAGGCGATCTGGGCAGGACGACGGAGCAGGCGAGAGGTGTCCCTCTAGAGGCGCCTGCCTTCCCTCGTAGCCATGGCCGACAGGTTTGAGGCGCAGAAGCACGCGAGGGAGACGAGGCGGGGCCGCCGCTGGCCTCCAGGCGCGCCGCGGCCGCATCGGTGGCGGCGGCCTGGGCGTCGGCGGCAGCTGCCCGGGGGTCGCGGCGCGCGACGTCGTCGGCGGAGGCGGCCGCCGCTGCCGCGACTTGTGCATCCGCCGTCGCCGTGGCCGTGGCCGTGGTCGTCGTCGTCGTCGTCGTCGCCGTCGTCGTCGTCGTCGTCGTCGTCGTCGTCGTCCTCGTCCTCGTCCTCGTCGTCGTCGTCCTCGTCGTTGTATCCGTCGTCGTCGCCGTCGCCGTCGTCGTCGCAATCGTTATCAGCGTCGTCGTCGCAGTCGTTATCAGCGTCGTCGTCGTCGCCGTCGCCGTCGTCCTCGTCCTCGGACCTCCTGGCCTGGCAGCGTTTTAGGGACAGGAACAGGATGTTTGCGCTTTTTTGTTGTGACAGGTTTGTGTGTTCGTGTTTTTTATGTGTTGAATGCGTTGTGTGTATGTGTGTATGCTTGTTGGACAAGTGGCTGTGCTCCGTCCTGTGCTTCTGGAGGTCTTCGGGGGGCCCAGGCCTTTGACGCCACGAACGAATCAGCATGGCCGCTTTTTCTGCGGGCTCGGACCCTTGGAGGCCCGCTTCGGGCCCAAGGGCCACCCAAAAACGACCCAAGATGGCAAGAACTGGTATCGGGGACGGGGTCGAGAGGTGCGGGGGCCCATGCCACAACCAGATCCCGACGCTGGATGCCTGGGTCAGCATTGGCGGCGCGCGCTGCCCAACCACTGCACCGAGGGTGCCCACTGTCCGGCGCTGGTTCGCGAGGACGGCGCCGGCGCCTATCCACCTGCACGGGTGACGCCAAGCTTCCAGCGTCCAGCGCGGCGCTGGCCAGCGAGGCCGCCACCTACTGTCCACGTTCGGCCGACCCTGGGCAGACGCATCCCCAGACCTGCGAACGTCGTGAGCTTTTTCAATCCGTTTGCCCTAGGCCCATTCCGGACCCATCCCTGGGGCTGGCTTTCCAGCTCGAGTTGTTGAGCGGGGCACGAGAAAGGCCCGTACTAGCGTGGGGGAAACGGGTCCTGAGGGAAACGGGTCCTGGATTTGGGGAGCCTTTCCCCAATACAGATTTTCCATCCTTGGGCCCGTGGAGGGCCCCGAGAGCCCGAAACCAAGAACAGTGTCTTGAAAGGGTTCAGGATTATGCGGGTGAAGCAGTTACGTTGATTCGCTGTGTTGCAGTCCCAGGAATGGCTTTCTGGCACGATTCAAGATCGTCAAAACGCAACGGTCAGGTTCATCCGTGGCGGTGAAATCCCGAGAACAATATTTTGGCATGCTTCACGGTTCTCAAACGATTGTCTTCGAACGAGGCCGTCCCCTCAATGGAAATAAACCGCTGTAGGGGCCCATGAAGAGGGAGTTTGGAGGGAGGGCAGATTCCAACATTGTTGATGACTCTTGGGTTTGCAGTGGTCCTCCTCCTCCTCCTCCTCCTCCTCCTCCTCCTCCTCCTATTCTCCTCCTCCTATTCTTCTTCTCCTCCTCCTCCTCCTCCTCCTCCTCCTCCTCCTCCTCCTCCTCCTCCTCCTCCTCCTATTCTCCTCCTCCTATTCTCCTCCTCCTGTTCTCCTCCTGGGAACGCCGCCCCCCGCACGCTCCATTTCTTCCCCCCGCGGCGGAGCGCTTCTCCGCGCGCTGCTCTCTGCTCGTCGGCCTCGGGTCTGGCCGCTCGGCCGCTGCGCGGGGCGGGGGGAGGGGGGCGGCCCGCTGCCGCGCCCCTGTGGAGGGGAAAGAGGAGGAGGAGGAGGAGGAGGAGGAGGAGGAGGAGGAGGAGGAGGAGGAGGAGGAGGAGGAGGAGGAGGAGGAGGGGGAGAGGAGGAGGAGGAGGACGACGAGGAGGAGGAGGAGGGAGGGAGGGAGGGAGGGAGGGGAGGGAGGGAGGAGGGAGGAGGAGGAGAGAGGAGGAGGGAGGAGAGGAGGAGGGGAGGAGGAGGAGGAGGAGGAGGAGGGCGGGGGGCGCGGCAGGCGGGCCGAGGGAGGCGCCGTGGGCCTGCGACGTGGAGGGGGGCGAGGAGCAGAGGACCTGTGGCTCCGCGCGCGCGTGCGTAGTGGGTGGTGGTGCGCGTGCGTGCGTGCGTGCGTGTGTGCGTGGTTGTGGTGGTGGTGGTGGTGGTGGTGGTGGTGGTGGTGGTGGTGGTGGTGGTAGCGGTGGTGGTGGTGGTGGTGGTGGTGCTGCTGGTGGTGGTTGTGGTGGTGGTGGTGGTGGTGGTGGTGGTGGTGGTGGTGGTGGTGGTGGTGGTGGTGGTGGTGGTGGTGCGGCGGCGCGGTTGTGGCGGGCGGATGGGCGCGCGAGAAAGAGGCCCGCGCTGGGGCGAGAACGCCATCCTGCACGACGGAGGCCAAACACCGATCCGAAAATGAGGCCCACGCTGCAGCGGGAGCACGATTCGGAACGATTCGGGAGCAGAAATGAGGCCGACGCCTCAGCGAGAGCAGCAGTTTGGAAAAAAACGCAAGCGACCACCCAACTCCCGGGAATCCTGTGCGTATAAAAAACAATACGCGGCGGGGGGGGGATACTTTTCAGGCCGCCATCGGGGGAAGAGGGAGATTAGTATTCCTATTGAGTAATTGTGAAGGGGGGGAGGGGAGCGGGGGGGGGGGGGGGGGGGGGGGAGGGGGGGGGGGGGGGGGGGGAGGGGGGCGGGGGAGGCGGGGATGGGATCGGGGGGGGGGGGGGGGGGGGGGAGGGGGGCAGATGCGGGGGGCCAGGGGGCAGGCGCAGAAAGAGGGACGAATGTGGATGGTGCTGCTGCTGGTGGTGAAGACGAAGGTGAAGGTGGAAAACGAGGACGAAGATGAGCATGAAGATGCAGATGAGTATGAATACTAAGATGCTGCTGATGACGATAACGATAACGGTAACGATAACGATAACGATAACGATGATGATGATGATGATGATGATGATGATGATGATGATGATAATGATACGGACTCCCCCCCGCGGCCAGTCCTGCGTCTTCAGGTAGCAGCGGGCAGCTGGACGCGGGCGCACTTCCGACACAGGGCCCTAACCCTGGCATGCACCATCGAAGCGGCAGCGGTTCTCGAAGTTAAGCCCCGAGCGCGGAGCGAGTTAAAAGCG